AGACACCAGATGGAACGATGCGGCCTTATGTCACCAGTTCCGCATCGGGCTGTCTGAGTCTCTCAAGGACGAACTAGCACGAGTAGGCCTACCAGACTCCCTGGAAAGACTGATTGAGTTGGCCATCCAGATTGACCGTAGGTTAAGGGAACGTCGGCTGGAAAGGAGCAGCCAGGGTCAAAGGGTGGCATGGATCCCACCGAGAGACACAGCTCCAACCCCAGGGAACCATCCCCGAGGCACGGAATCGGGGGACAACCCGGAACCCATGCAGCTGGGACTGGCCCGTTCCCACTTGTCGGTCGAGGAACGTCAAAGGAGACGATCGCTGAACCTATGCCTGTACTGCGGGGAAGCTGGTCACCAGGTGCGCTCCTGTCCTGCAAAGATGAGTAAGTCCGCTTCCTTTTCTTTTACCTTACCCGCAGGAAGGGATGATCAGTCCAATTACCTGGCCATACCTGTGTCTTTGCAGCTCCCGGGAAGAACACTATCGGTGACCGCAATCGTTGACTCTGGAGCTTGTAGTTGCTTTGTCGACCTGACTTTTGCCCACCGGCAAAAAATACCACTGCAGACCAAAGAAAGGGGGTTCAACATCTTCTTGGCAGACGGCTCCAGTATAAAATCAGGGGTGGTGGACCAGGAGACACCACCCATTTTTACCACAATAGCAGACCATCACCAGGAGTTCCTCCGTTTGGATGCCATCGCATCACCCCTATTTCCAGTCATTCTGGGGCTCCCTTGGCTGCGGGCCCATAACCCCCAGGTTGACTGGGAAAGGGGGACGATTCAATTTAGGTCACCCTACTGTTTGAATCACTGCCAGGTCACGGGATCCGTGGGTCCCCGGTTCCTCCTGTGCTTGGACGGTGATGCCAATCTATCCCAGACTATTCCCCCGGCCTACCATGACTTCTTGGACGTTTTCAGTAAGCGAGGGGCTGACGTTCTTCCCCCACACCGTTCTTACGATTGTCCTATAGACCTCCTACCCGGATCTGAGATCTCGTTCGGCCGGATCTTTCCCTTGTCAGAAACGGAATCGGGTGTACTGAGGGAATATATTGACGAGAACCTGCGGAAGGGGTTTATTCGTCCTTCCACATCCCCAGCCGGGGCCGGGCTGTTCTTCGTAGAGAAGAAGGACAAATCGTTACGGCCCTGCATAGACTACCGTGATCTAAACAAGATAACGGTAAAGAACCGTTATCCCTTACCGTTAGTCCCCGAGCTCCTCCAGAGATTAAAATCGGCAATGATATTCACTAAACTAGACCTGCGGGGGGCCTATAACCTTGTCCGTATCAGGGAGGGGGATGAGTGGAAGACGGCCTTCCGTACGAGATTCGGTCACTACGAATATCTAGTGATGCCATTCGGGCTCTGTAATGCACCGGCAACCTTCCAGCATTTCATCAACGATGTTTTTCGTGATTTCCTCGATGTCTTTGTAGTAGTTTATTTGGATGACATCCTAATTTTCTCCCCTTCACTGGAGGTTCATCGAGGTCACGTAGTACGGGTATTAGAACGGTTGCGTCAACACGGGCTATACGCCAAGGCAGAAAAGTGCTGTTTCGAACAGCGCGAAATCACGTTCTTGGGACTGGTTCTCTCTTCCGCGGGGGTCGCGATGGATCCCCAGAAAGTCACGGCGATCTTAGATTGGCCAATACCCGCCGACAAAAAGGGGGTACAGCGTTTCATCGGCTTTTCCAATTTTTATAGAAAGTTTGTTAGGAACTTCTCCGGTCTGGTCTCCCCGATCACGCAACTGACGAAACAAGGGGTCCGTTTTAAGTGGACTTCCGAAGCCCAGACGGCATTCGAGAAGCTCAAAAAATTATTCACGTCTGCGCCCATCCTCTGCCATCCGGATACTACTTCCCCCATATGTCTTGGAAGTGGATGCCTCTGAGAACGCGGTAGGAGCGGTTCTGTCCCAAAGAAATGGAACCAAGGAACTACTGCACCCCGTGGCGTTCTTCTCCAGGAAGTTGACGCCGGCTGAACGTAACTATGACATTGGAGATCGGGAGCTCCTGGCCATCAAATCCGCTCTAGAAGAATGGAGGTACTTACTGGAAGGAGCCACACACCCAATCCTAGTCTTCACAGATCACAAGAACCTGGAATATTTAAGAACAGCGAAACGACTGAGACCTCGCCAGGCAAGATGGGCTCTTTTCTTCTCGCGATTCACTCTCCATATTACGTACCGACCCGGTACTAAGAACACAAAACCAGACGCTCTGTCCCGCATGTTTGAGGACCCCGATGACACAGTGGCACCTGACACCATCTTACCTTCCGGAAGTTTCCTTGCTCTACAAACAGAACTTCGTTCCAGACTCCTCGACGCTTCTACAGGACTACCAGTTCCGTCGGGTCACCCCTCCTGAACCACGGCGGGCTGTTTTGGAAGGAAGACCGGATCATGGTCCCAGAAGAGGTGCGAACCCTGGTCCTAGGGCACTGCCACGACCATCGAATGGCAGGTCACTTCGGGGTTGCGAAAACTCTGGAACTACTACGGCGCTCGTTCTGGTGGCCGAACATGAATAAGGACTGCGAGCGTTACGTCCAGACCTGCTCCACCTGTCAAAGGAACAAGCCCTCCAGGAGCCGGGCATGGGGATTGTTACGTCCATTACCAATACCCAAGCGGGCCTGGCAAATGATTGCCATGGACTTTGTGGTCGAACTCCCACCATCCCAAGGCTACACAGCAATAATGGTGGTCGTGGACCGCTTCTCAAAGATGGCACATTTTATACCCCTGGAGAAAACCCCATCGGCACCTGAAACGGCACGGATCTTCATTAAGGAAGTAGTCAGGCTTCATGGGGTCCCCGAAGATATAGTGTCAGATCGGGGAGTCCAATTCACCTCCAGGTTCTGGAACTCCTTGTGTAAAGCACTAGGAATCAAGCTGTCGCTTTCATCCGCCTACCACCCACAGACCAACGGCCAAACCGAGAGGACCAACCAAACGCTGGAACAATACCTGCGATGTTACACGTCCTACCTTCAGGATGACTGGTTGACGTTGTTGCCGTCCGCAGAATTCGCGTACAACAACTCGAGTCACTCTGCAACGGGGCAATCCCCGTTCTTCGCCAATTACGGGTATCATCCCACATTTCTCCCTGACCTGATGCCTGAAAACCCGGTACCGGCATCTCAGGACGTCTTAAACTTCTTCTCTGTCAATAACAAGACAATTCAGGAAGCCATCGCCAAAGCCCAAGGGGACAGTAAGAGGGCGTTCGACAGGAAAAGAAGAGGAGAATTACTGCTTCAACCAGGGGATCGGGTATGGCTGTCAACGACCAACTTGAAGATGCTGCATCCTTCGAGGAAGCTGGGACCCAAGTACATTGGCCCATTCCGGTAAAGCGTGTAGTCAACAAGGTGGCCTACGAGCTTGAGCTTCCGCAGACCTTCAGGGTACATCCTGTGTTCCATGTGTCTCTCCTGAAGCCATCCAGACCGGATCCTTTCCCGGACCGTGAGTCCAGACCTCCCGAGGCAATCTCCGTAGATGACCAGGAGGAATACGAAGTGGAGACTATCCTCAGTTGCCGACGGAGGGGGAACCAGACCCAGTTCCTGATAAAATGGAAGGGTTATGGCCCTGAGGAGAACTCATGGGAACCCGCCCAGAACATTCACGCTCCCCGGCTCATCCGGGAATTTTTTCGTGGACACCCGCGGTGGAGAGATCAGTGGGGCTCCCGGAGGGTGCCCATTGGGGGGGGGCAGTGTCAGGGATCACGGCGCCGGAATCCTGCATCACGGCGCCGTCCCCCCGCGCATGCGCACTGGCGGCGAGCCGCGGCTGACAGGACGCCGCGCATGCGCAGTAGAGAGTCGAGGGCGCGCCTCAGGCGTCCAATGACAGCCGGGGGCGCGTCCCAGCCAGCCAATGACAGTGCAGGGCGCACTATTTAAAGATGCCCTGCACTGTCACCCATTGCCGCAAGGTCTTATGTGATCCTGGATACCTGCTCCTGTTCTGTGACCCTGTTTTCGACCCTGACTACGCTGCCTGCCCCTGTGTTTGACCCGGCTTGTCCTGACTACTCTGCCTGCTCCTGCGTTTTGACTCGGATATCCTGACTATTCTACGGACTGATTTACCTGGCTGACCCTGCATGTGACCTGACTACTCCTTGCCCGCTGATTTGGTACCCCGCTTACCCCCCACGGAACCACTATCCGTGCCACCCTGCTGGGGCCGTCATCCGCCTCATATCTGGCTCTCCCGGTACCTACACGCATCCCCGGAGGCCTTCCCAGCCGCTGGTGGGCCCGCCCAGAGGTCGTGACCTGGCCCGGGACTGTTTCAAGTCCATCCCCACCATCAGGGGCCCTGGTGAAGGCACAGCCCGGGCTTAGACCCCACGCTCTGGGTTGGTCTATCAGTTGGCAGCCGGAAGGCTCCGCCTGGCGGATCATAAACAGACATAGGCTGGGTCCTTGGGGTGGAGTCTTTAAATAGAAAGACAAAAGAGCACCACAGGGTTTTTGATAGACCATGTGATAGTTATTAGATGCAGAGTTTTGAGAAAACTCGAATGTGTTTCTGATGCTTAAAGAGCCCCTTCATTGGGACTTTACACTTTTAGCAGAAGGGAATCTGGGCACAATATGGATACCAAATACAAAACTTAAAAGATCCATATTGATATGAAGCCTGGTTTAAAGATGTGATCTGGTATCTAGCTTGTGCCCAGATTCTCTTCAGCTAAAAGTCCAAAGGCCCCAGGAAGGTGCCGTCTCCTAAAACACGTTGGCCTTTCCTTAGGACTCTGCAACTCATAAACCCTGTCTGGACTATCAGAAACCTCATGGTGTTCTCCTCATTTTCCACTATTTGAAGGTTGTTACTGTCTGTGCCTCTAAAAGGGAGATTTCCCAAAATTCAAGTGATAGGGTGTCACTAGGTGTCAGAGCCAGGATCCGAATCTGCGGTGAGTGGCAATGTTTCTTCTTGCTGAGCCACCTGGAATGCTGGACAGCTCCCTTGACAGTTATTTGGATGATCCTGCCTTGACCTTGTTTATTATGAACCTTGAACCCCTTGCTCCTCCCATGAACTTCCTGATATAAGCCATGTCTCTGCACTTCCTGTTTGCCAGATTTTTGTGCTCTCCAGCCAGTATCGTGCTCTTTATCATCTCTGCTGTTATCCGTATTTTGCTATCACTCGTTATTGACCCTTGGCGTGTTCTCGACTACGCTTCTGCCTGATCCCAACCTGCGGCTGCTCATTACCGTCCTTGGCTTGTTCTCGACTACGCTTCTGCCTGATCCCAACCTGTGACTGCTCATTACCGACCTTGGCTTGTTCTCGACTACGCTTCTGCTTGATCCCAACCTGCGACTTCTCATTACCGACCTTGGTTTGTTCTCGACTACGCTTCTGCTTGATCCCAACCTGTGACTTCTCATTACCGACCTTGGTTTGTTCTCGACTATGCTTCTGCCTGATCCCAACCTGCGACTTCTCATTACCGACCTTGGCTTGTTCTCGACTACGCTTCTGCCTGATCCAAACCTGCGACTGCTCATTACCGACCTTGGCTTGTTCTCGACTACGCTTCTGCTTGATCCCAACCTGCGACTGCTCCTTACCGACCTTGGCTTGTTCTCGACTACGCTTCTGCTTGATCCCAACCTGCGACTGCTCATTACCGACCTTGGCGTGTTCTCGACTACGCTTCTGCCTGATCCCAACCTGTGACTGCTCATTACCGACCTTGGCCTGTTCTCGACTACGCTTCTGCCTGATCCCAACCTGTGACTGCTCATTACCGACCTTGGCTTGTTCTCGACTACGCTTCTGCTTGATCCCAACCTGCGACTGCTCATTACCGACCTTGGCTTGTTCTCGACTACTCTTCTGCTTGATCCCAACCTGCGACTGCTCATTACCGACCTTGGCTTGTTCTCGACTACGCTTCTGCTTGATCCCAACCTGCGACTGCTGCTCATTACCGACCTTGGCGTGTTCTCGACTACGCTTCTGCTTGATCCCAACCTGTGACTGCTCATTACCGACCTTGGCTTGTTCTCGACTATGCTTCTGCTTGATCCCAACCTGCGACTGCTCATTACCGACCTTGGCGTGTTCTCGACTATGCTTCTGCTTGATCCCAACCTGTGACTGCTCATTACCGACCTTGGCGTGTTCTCGACTACGCTTTTGCTTGATCCCAACCTGCGACTGCTCATTACCGACCTTGGCTTGTTCTCGACTACGCTTGTGCCTGATCCCAACCTGCGACTGCTCATTACCGACCTTGGCTTGTTCTCGACTACGCTTGTGCCTGATCCCAACCTGCGACTGCTCATTACCGACCTTGGCTTGTTCTTGACTACACATCCGCTTGATCCCAACCTGCGACTGCTCATTACCGACCTTGGCGTGTTCTCGACTACGCTTGTGCCTGATCCCAACCTGTGACTGCTCATTACCAACCTTGGCTTGTTCTCGACTACGCTTCTGCTTGATCCCAACCTGCGACTGCTCATTACCGACCTTGGCTTGTTCTCGACTACGCTTCTGCTTGATCCCAACCTGCGACTGCTCATTACCGACCTTGGCTTGTTCTCGACTACGCTTCTGCCTGATCCCAACCTGCGACTGCTCATTACCGACCTTGGCTTGTTCTCGACTACGCTTCTGCCTCATCCCAACCTGCGACTGCTCATTACCGACCTTGGCTTGTTCTCGACTATGCTTCTGCCTCATCCCAACCTGCGACTGCTCATTACCGACCTTGGCTTGTTCTCGACTACGCTTCTGCTTGATCCCAACCTGCGACTGCTCATTACCGACCTTGGCGTGTTCTCGACTACGCTTCTGCTTGATCCCAACCTGCGACTGCTCATTACCGACCTTGACTTGTTGACTGACCACGCTTCTGTTTGATCCTTACCTCCTTATACGCTACTGGACCTCTGCTTGCTCACCTCCTGGTGGGGTGATCCTGAGGACCGCGACCTGGTGCTAACAAGCAGCCAAATCCATCTTCACCATCAGGAGCTCTGGTGAACATCGGTTGCTACTTAGACTCCGCACCTCAGGTGAGCCACAGTGACCTGCCTGTGTACCTATCCTGCTGGTTTCACGTAAGCCTTTCCACTGCTATAGCAACTGGTCTTTGAGCCTGACCCCTGATCGTGACACTAGGACTGGAAGTGAGAGGAAATCTCTCCAACATGGATTGAGACAGAGACAGAAACCTGGTGGGGATATGTTATGGTATGTGTTTAGAAGAGGCAGCTCTGATGTCCAGCATGAAGTCTGCAGTTGATCCAGAGGAAGACAAAAACCTTTACATAATGCAATCCCCTAAGGCACTCAGCCACTCCCTGGATCACCAATCCACAGTCTTATTTCCTGCAGATATTGATGGCCCCGTACATTCTCTCTATTTACATACATATGTCGCCATTACCCCCTTAGAAGTTTCTAAATATTTGGGTCCCCCTATAGTTCTGCACAGCCAAGCAACACACATTTTCTTCCTGGCTTGCACTCCAGAGACAGTGAACTGTCCTAGAACATATTTTTGGGGCTTTTATTAGGGTTATTGAATTTGGATGGGGTTGAGGGATGCAAGGAACTGTAAACCGAGGACAACTCCTTAGCAACTATGTACAAGTCCACAAAAGGGTTTTTCTCTTTTCTTTAAGAGCTCTCCATCCTCTCCTGGTGCACCACCCCAACCCCCTAGATATTCTTCTTCTATCCAGCAATCTGAAGGCTTTCCCTGGACAAGGGGACCCAGAATCTGCTGCCTTAAAAGCACAATACAGCTAAGGGTTAGTCAGGTTTCCCACCCAAATGCCCTCTCCCCTTCTCTGTTCCAGGGGGTGTAGAAGTACTTACTGTTCCTCTCCTGCAAGCTGTAGGTTGGTAGCTGCCTTCAGGCCTTCTGCTGGGATTGCTCCTTCCTTAGCTCCACAGGTGGTCCTCTCTCAGGGGGCTGGTGAGGTAAAGCCTTGATCCTGTCCAGGAGACAGGCCCCTTCCCACTGGGCCCCCTCCCAGGCTCCACACATCTCTCCTGCTCGCACATTTTCTGCTACTGAGCAGGCTCTACTATGCTGGTAAAGTTGATCCAGGGAATATCCGATTGCCTCTCGGGGGATCAGGAAGGAATTTTTTTTCCCCTGCAGGAGCAAATTGGATCGTGCTTTGCTGTTTTTTTTTCCTTTCCTCTGGATCAACTGTGGGTGTAGAATTATAATTTTTTTTAACGGTTGAACTGGATGGACTTTTGTCTTTTTTCAGCCAGACTAACTATGTATCTATGCTTAAAGGCTGTCCCAACCCCATATCAAGCTTCTTGCTTGGGTATTGGTTGGGATCCCTTAAGCATACAGATCAGCCACCCCTCACCCCCCGACCTACTGAGTTCTAGAGACTTGGAGAAGTCTCTAGATTAGGGGGAAGTATCAGAGAGGTGATCTGCAGAGCCTCTCAGTCATGACCTTCTATCTACAAAAAAATTAACTAGCTCCCCTTAGCTACCTAGAAGGGTGCTACACATATCCAGATCTTTTTTATGCTACAGTGTTGGCTATTAAGCTGTTATTGTTCCTCTGAAATCTCTCACCATTTTTTCCTGCGTAGCTGCGGTTGAACCCATTATAATTTACATGTTGGATGGAGCTTAAGTCGGTCCCATGGAAAAGCTCCTTCTCATTGGTGGTGGAACTGTTCTTGGAGTCGATGTTCTGCTTTTTTATCTGATAGTTGAGCCAGAGATCTCTGTTCTGCACACGAAAAATCTGGGAGGACAAGACATACAAAGACCCTGATGTATACAATGTTTTACCAGTAAACTGCAGAGTGCTCCAACTATTACACAGGAGAGGACATATTCTATGATGAATACAGTTACAGGTCAAGTATCATTCAGATGGATGTAGAGGCGTGCTTGAAATGGAAGGTCAGCACACTCGACGCTATTAAAAATATATTTTTAAATTCACACTTCACAGGTGATGAGTAGAGCCAGTGTGTTTCGGGGGAAATGCCTCCCCCTTCGTCAGGACTGTGATGGTTGGTGTGATCAGGGCTATGATAATAGCCTTTTAGGTGCTGTAAAATGACAGAGAACTGGTATGTCAGATCTTCATCATTTTACAGCACTTAAAGGGCTCCTATTGTATCTGCACTTCGGTTCCTGGTCAGTCTTCCCTGCACCAGCCATCACAGCCAACACTTTGGCTCTACTTACCACCCGTGGACTGAAATTTTAATAAACATCTTTAATAATAGCCTCAAGTGTAATGACCTTTCTCTACACCCCTCTGTATCTATCTTGTGAAGGGTCTGTCTGTTGCTACCAGAGAGGAAGCAGCTGAGACCATAACTCGCATCCACGTCTCGCCTTCATATCTCTTTGAAGGACAACACATCCCAGATCATCTCCAGGAATACCAGACTGCAGACTGATCCTCGTGCACATTGAAGTTCAGTATCAAACAACTCTAATGATGATGTTATGGGTGGAATATTCTACTGAAGGCTTATGTCTGCCCATTCTATAGTGCCAGTTGTTATTCTGTAATTGCAATGCCCAGTTCTTTGCAACATACTGTCATAATTAAATCTAATCCCCAATTATACACTCTCTTGTGGATCCTTCATCCTAGAGCAGTCTGTTTGCCCTTTCTGCTTGTGACGGGAGTGACTTTGGGTGGGGGGCCCATGGAACACAGCCCACTTTGGAGAGGTGGGGAGACCCCTGTCTCAGCTCCCCATATCCCTATTATGTGTAAGTCACCCCGTGCCTGTTAGGGGTGCAGGGTGAAATGTCCTGCTATTGAGTAGACAAGTATAGGTGGGGTTCAGGGGTTGTTCATTGTTTAATGCCAATTGGTTTGCACACATCTCAGGAGGGATTTTGGCCCACTCCTCTTGGCAGATCCTCTCCAAGTCATTAAGGTTTGGTGGCTGACGTTTGGCAACTCGAACTTTCAGCTCCTCCACAGATTCTCAATCGGATGAAGGTCTGGAGACTGGCTAGGCCACTCCAGGACCTTAATGTGCTTCTTCTTGAGCCGCTCCTTTGTTGCCTTGGCCGTGTGTTTTGGGTCATTGTCATGCTGGAACACCCATCCACCACCCATTTTCAATGCCCTGGCTGAGGGAAGAAGGTTCTCACCCAAGATTTGAGGGTACATTGCCCCGTCCATCGTCCCTTTTTTGCAGTGCAGTTGTCCTGTCCCCTTAGCAGAAAAACACCCCCAAAAGCAGAATGTTTCCACCACCATGTTTCACAGTTGGGATGGTGTTCTTGGGGTCATAGGCAGCATTCCTCCTCCTCCAAACACGGCGAGTTGATGCCAAAGAGCTGGATTTTGGTCTCATCTGACCACAACACTTTCAACCAGTCCTCCTCTGCATCAGACTATGGGAAAATACCTCAGGGGCCTATCTAACTGCTGGACCCTATGGGCATCTGTATAAAGTTCATTTGATATTTAACCATTTTTCTGCCAGGTCTGTATGCCGTAAGGACCTGACAGTGTGAGGTGGGCGGGGTGGGTGGGGCTTATAGACAATCCAGAGACTGCAGCCACCAGTATTGTGTATAAACTGACTGGTAGATTCCTGCCTGTCAAGTGGAAATGGTCAGGTGACTCCGCTGCCAGTGATCGCTGCCACAGACCCCAGTTCTGGGGACTGACCCCTCCCCCACCCCACAGACGTGCTCCTGCCATGTAACCAGGCTCCGCTTGCCCATCTGCAGGCTGGGGGAGAGCCATGGTGGGTGCCCCTCCCCTTCTTTGTGTGACCTGAAAGGCGGCGTCCAATACGGTTTGCATTGCAATTGCCCTGAGGAGACAATGGGGGGACTTCTTCTTTAGACCCTTGTGACAGGAGTGACTTTGGGTGGGGGGCCCATGGAACACAGCTCACTTTGGAGGGGTGGGGAGACCCCTGTCTTAGCTCCCCATATCCCTTTTATGTGTAAGTCACCCTGTGCCTGTTAGGGGTACAGAGTGAAATGCCCTAATATTGGGGTGGGGGGTTGTTCATTGTTTAATACCATGTGGTACATCCCATTGTTCTATTGTGTGTCTTGCTTGGGAGCAAACTATTATGGGATGTATGTGTTTGTGTATTGACTTGGTGGGGGTGTCTGCTGATGCGTCTCTTGTTACTAAATGTATTGCCCCGCCCTGTGTATATATCTTGTCTCTGTGTTAAAATAAACCAGTCCATTTCCTGTTTTAATACGAGTCTGGTGCTGTCTCGTCTTGTATGGTCAGCGGTGGTGTCCGTGGATCTGTGTTCGGATAGGGAAACGGAAATACCCTAGTGCAGTCGGGGTCCGGTTCCGTTACACTGCTGTTCTGCTGTTACCTGCTGTAGAATCTTCATACTACACGCACTAGACTACCTGCAGTGGATGTGGCCTTGCTACGGAGTCGGAAAATTCCTCCAGCTCATTGCCTGATCACATATCCTCTTGACTTATCTTTGGAATCCAGAGCTAAACTTTAATTATTTGGCCGTACATCCTGCCATTCTGTTGTAATGTTTCTTGATGCCATGAGAGATTACTGAAAGGCATCTTTGCACTTGTTTGCTGCTGCCTTTCTAGACTTTTGCCAAGCTTCTACTAGATCAGCACTTTACATCTGTCCAGCCTGGATCACAAGTCACCACAGGAGCCTCTACCAGGGGATTTATCTTGCCCCATCCAACAATGGTTTGACCCAGTAACTCTCCAGGTAAGTCAAACATCTCTC